AGCTCAGAAATGCCTGACAGCTCGTAGTGCAGGAAGGGGAAACGCATGACACACATCTCACCGCCTGACCCCACGCAACGCCTTCCCAGGGGGTTTTGCGGGTGACTTCAGACATCTTTCTGCACCAAGAGCTGTCTCTACCTGGTAGGGATGGCCGGGCAGTGGGTTTCTACCTCTCTCGCAGGATGTATTTGCCTTTCCGGTCCAGGTTGCTGCTGAAGTGGATGGAGAACCAGAGGAATGAAGTCAGGATCATCCCATAAACCTAAAAGGAAATAAATGAGACAGGCACACAATTAAATGCCAAACTGGTTATCATGCTCCATCTGTGCAAATAAGTGATCATAAAATGTTGCCTGTTAGTCCACTTGGCACTTCTGGATTTATGTATCAGGATGTCACTTTTTTTTTAAGAGAGAGAGCTGTTTTCCAGTAAAATGGTGACCAGTTCCAACACAGGAGGGAAAAAAAACCCAACCCAACACATTGTTAAAGCATCTGATTGGAATTAGCACTGCATGGCTCAAACCCGCTCCTAAAAATACCAAGAAATGAGATGAAACCGGGGAATTCAGGTTTCAAATTCCTGCCACAAAGCATTCCTCTATGCAAACAAACATATCTCTCTCATAATAATAGCCTTTTATAGAGATAACATGGGTGGGGGGGGAACCCCAAACCTCATGTATAGTTTGGAGTAAAAGCCCCAACAAAAAAAAGAAAAAAAACCCAATCCCTAACAAAACCCAAACTCCACCCCATGCATGGCTGTGAGTACAGAGGACAGTGCACGTCCTCTCTATTGTGATATTCTGCCTGGTATATCACACATCAGGATTCACACAGGCGAAATATCAAAGCTAAGGCCGCCGTGGGAATAACAAGGGCTGTAATGATGTGCTCTGGCCTAAAAGTCTGCCCTAACATGCAAGTGCCTTCATATCTGGCGACATGTGTGCCAAGGGACAGTGACATCAGAGCGGCTATAGCCCTTGTCGCGTGCTTCCTTCGCATCCTGCCATCACAATAGCGAACCGTGCGGCGAGATTTCCTCTAGCACGTGCTTCAAAGACAGCCGCCTTATCTGGCTATAGCATCAAACTGTAAAAAAAAAGATATATATATAATAAAAACACTCCCGCTTTTGTCTGAATATAGCTTCCTCCTACACCTGAGAAAAATTGGAAAGCGACACCAGATGGTCACAGGTGACTTTACATTTATAGCTCCATAGCAATGCCTGATGGTTTTCCTAACTTACTACTAGCACTATAAAATACAGAAGTATTTGTTCCTCTGGGCTTTATTTAGATAGAGAAGAGTCTTCTAACCAAGGTGGACACAAGAAGTAAAACAATCTCCAAGCACACATTCAGCCAGGAAAGGTCGCCCCAGCTGGGCAGCAGCATGGAGATACCACAGCAGACCAAACCTCCCTTCATGGTGAAGAAACAAGTCTCCTGGCATCTACTCTTTTCTGGCATACTTCACTACACGTGCAGGGCCCTCGTGTAGAGGTAATTACCATGATAGACTTCTGCCAGGCAGTTGAGTGGGCGTAAGAGCAGAGTTGTTTTAATTAGCAGTGCTCTCCAGCTCCAAAGGGACTGACCCCATGCAGCCACCAAGCCCCCTCACCGCTGAAGGACACAGGCCTCTCACAGGATTTCATTCTTTCTTTTGTCCTCCTCCTTTCATTCCTCTTTTGACCTCATTGAGTTGCTGGAGCGTGTCCAAAGAAGGGCAGTGAAGCTGGTGAGGGGTCCGGAGCACAAGTCTTATGAGGAGCGGCTGAGGGAACTGGGATTGTTCAGTCTGGAGAAGAGGAGGCTGAGGGGAGACCTTATCGCTCTCTACAACTACCTGAAAGGGGGTTGTGGTGAGGTGGGGGTTGGTTTCTTCTCCCAAGTAACAAGCAATAGGATGAGAGGAAATGGCCTCAAGTTGTGCCAGGGGAGGTTTAGATTGGATATTAGGAAAAACTTCTTTACTGAGAGAGTGGTCAAACATTGGAACAGGCTGCCCAGGGAAGGGGTGGACTCCCCATCACTGGAAGTGTTCAAAAAACATGTGGACGTGGCACTTCCAGATATGGTTTAGTGGGCATGGTGGTGTTGGGTTAACGGTTGGACTTGATGATCTTAAGGGTCTTCTCCAACCTTAATGATTCTGTGAAATGCAAATGCTGCTGCAGCCCGCTCCCCCTGTCCCCCGCTCTCAGGTGCCGTGTCTACTTTGGGCAGAAAATCCGTGCAGTGAGCCTATTCTTGCAGGAAGACCCTTCCATCCACCAGTCTGGCCCAGACAGGTCCTGGTCCTTTCCTAATTTGCATGGCGGAGTCCACCACTGCTTGTTTCTCTGCTGCCAGTCTCCAAAATCACCCAAACCCCTGGCTTCTGGGGGCTGATTTAGGACATGCTTTCCCTGCTGCAACCTGCCCCTCGGGGCCAAAATGTGAAGGAACAGACATAGCTACCGTGAAGCTGATGGTGATGCCCAAGAGTGTGGAGACAAAATCCATGTGCTTCTTCAGGAAGTTCCGGATCTCTTGCAGGCAGTCCTAGGAGGAGAGAGACACACCTTGCAGCACAGCAGCAGCTCGGTGGGGGGCTTCATCCCCCCAACAGCACTTGCCACGACCCCAGATAGAAAAGGAGGCAAGAGGGGGATGCGGCATGGCACAGCTGGGCTGCTCTGTGGGCAGCTCTCCTTTTTTCTGCTGCTTGCTGCAACTTGGGAAGACAAACACCTGTGGTATATTTTCTATTACTACAATACGCCTACGATTTTCCCGGTGTGATGCGCTTCGGAGTGTGGGGAAATGTGTGCACGCACAGGTAAGCGTGGTCATGCGCAAGCTTTTTTCTTTCTGCCCGCTGGAAAATGGAAAGAGGGAAAAGCAGAGCACACCATAATGCTAAATATGTTCCCCAAAGATACCAATGAACGGCTCAGTTTTGCAAGGTGATCCAAGCATTAATATAGATTAGCCTTCAGCACGCGAGCGGCCCCCCGGAAATCCAGGAGCTGTGAGCCAAGAGAGCCATTTCAAAGATGCAAGACCATGCCCTTGATGAAGCGATTTGCAGAGCGAGGTAAGAGTGCTCAAAGCCAGTGAGTGAATGTACTGCAGTTACCAAACTCCGGTTCCCCAGGTTGCAAAATGCATCCTCACACCCACCTCCCCCGGGTTGCCACCGGGGGAAATGCAAACCATTAACCGGGGGAGAACAGAGTTACTCCTACGGCGCCTGGTTTTGCTCCGCTCTCCCTGCTCCGAGCAGAGTTCGACCCTACTTCGAGGTGTGACGCTCCCAGAGGCAGCGCTTTGAAACGCTGTCCCATGGCTGACACGAGCCTGCGCATCACAGCGTCCTGTTAGGGCTTGGCGTCTTCGCCCAACAGCAATGGTTTTGTATAGCTGTAGCAACATGGTTTTGTTTTTCCTAGGGACAACATACATATTGATGCTGGTGGCTTTAGCTACTTCAGCGGATTTGGCTACTCCAGTGGAAGAAAAATAATTATACAATGGATTTGCTCAGAGAGTATGAAGTCTATGTTGCGGCTTCAGCACAGAGGCAGTCTAATACTGGTGGCTTCTTCATCAACCTCACTGAGATATTGCAAAGAGGAGGAATGAGCTGTACTTGATGAAGTCACTGCTGGGCACCATCATCCTGCCTCACGAGTTTCTCATTCTAATACTTATTTAATGCCCTGGGAATAAGGAATTCCAGCAAATTCCACTTTTGCCGTTAGTGGGACACTTTTTAAGCCTCAGAAACTAGTGTCACATGGAAAAGTCCAACTGTTTTTTTGAGCTCAGACACATGCCTGTGATATCTCTCGCTCTCTGCAGAGGCAGGAGATGAGGAGGAAGCTGGAGGGAAGCAACTGGCTGCAAATACAAGCATCTGAGTGCTTTCTAGAGCTGCGAAGGAAACCGCATCTACAGGTCTGAGACCTGCTGGTGCACCGGGGCTCCTCCAGCAGGTGAGACACCTCCTTCTTGAAACAACAAAACCCCAACAAAACAAACCCCAGTCCCTAACAACCCCAAACCATGAAACAGCCACAATTCTCATTAACGCTTAAACACCAGCAAGGTTTCAACCATTAGCGAGTAGCAGCACAACCCCACTTTAGGGTGGAAGAAACCTTTCCCTTACCTGTCCCGCATCGCGCACCTGGCCGGATGGGCATGTCTTGCGCTCGACGTTGGCCGTGTCCCCAAACGGAGAGTGCTTCCCACAGCACAGGAACTGGAAGAGAGGGAGAGGTCTGCCAGCCACCTGCCGGGGCTCTCCCCTCGCCACCAGCTGCTGCGGCAGGAGGTGCCGGCGATGGGCCACCCTTCCTCCCCGCTGCCCCAGGCAGGGCTATACAACCAGGGCTGCAAGGGGCGAAGCACGCAGGCATGTAATCAGCAAGGGCAGCAGTGGAGGTTATGTTCAGAGGAGGTGGATGGATCCATCCCGAAGCTTGCCCATGCTGGGGCTGGGGTCAAGCCCTCCTTCCATGGTCACAGCAGCTCTCACAGTGGCTGCTCTGGAAAGCCCAGGGATGC